CTGCCTTGAAAGGACATTTGCAAGGACAGATATTTCAAAAAGTGTCCAAATTCAACAGAACACTTGGACAAGAGTTGTTCAGAAATGGGTTCAATGCATGGGAAAAACGGCACAAAAAATGTCTATCACATTGTAGGCACTAATTTGAAAAGGAATGAATGGGGCGTTCATTACATGTATAAAGATAGCGAATGACGTCATTACGTTGCCTGCGATGCGCCGACAGCACTTATGTAAGGTTCACTTTAAAAACATATTTATGGAGATATTTCATTAAAACTTTTAACAATAGTTTACAAATAAGGAACGTCTATGTGACAATGATGCATCAAAATAGAAACAAATCAGTTCAGTTTAACATCCTTAATATGAGGAAATCATAATTTCTAATATATATATATATATATATATATATATATATATATATATATATATATATATATATATATATATATATATATATATATATTAAATACAATCAGAATACTTCAATTCGTATTTTTGTCCCAGAGACACATGTTGTCTTTTTAGATTATGTTAAATTTCCTATCTATAGGCATATGTGACTAATTTTATTTGATGAATTCTACAGCAAGGATGTAAAGATTATACATTAAAAATGTTTGCCGGTCTTGGATCGATTGAAGTCTTTTGTATAAAGTCGTTCATCATTTTCAAAGTTAATTTACTGGCCATCACCGAGGACTGTGCAGAGTAGGTATAATACATATAAACTTATATTTATCAATGAACTAATGGAAAAGTGTTCTTTAAAACAAAATTGAAATTTGATTTCCTATCGATATATATTTCACTAAAACGTAATAATTTCATTAACAGTGTAAATAATGAAACGACTTGCACGTGTTATGGATATTTTTTCGACGAGGGAGCGAATATTTGTAAAGGTAATAAATTACATTTTCAAAAGTGTTTTGGCTTGATGTAAATGCATATAATTTATTCGTTCTCCAAAATATACCATTTTGATTTTTACATACGCAGCTTATTTTACTCAAGTACCTAGAATTAAAACATTTCAAGCAGGACACCAATTTGCAATAAATACTTCATTCTGCAATCAGGTTGCGTTCTCTCTGCATTTTAAAATGTCTTCCTGGTTATATGGGTAAGAAATGCTCACGCAGATGTTGGTATCCGGGATTTGGAAAATTTTGTCAAGACGTATGCTACTGTAAAGCAGAACATTGCGACTTTCGGAGTGGCTGCAATAACTCTGTTGGTAAACATGTTTGCAATTCAATAAATGCACACATTACTTTGATGATTTACGTCAAAGTCAACGATTTCGTGTTATTGTGTTTTACATATACAGACCCTGAAACGTTCTACTACCCCACACGCACGCTGCACGAACGGTACACGCTCGCTACACGGTTTGCACGAAACGCTGCACGGTTTACACGAAACGCTTTGCACGAAAGGCTGCACGGTTTTCACGAAAGTCTGCACGAAACGCTTTGTACACGTTTCTCACACGGTTTGTACACGATTCTCGCACGCTTTGGCCTCGATCTGGTTTTTCTATTCGGAATCTCTTGGACTTTATTTCAATTATTATGGTTAAATCAACGAGTAGTTAAGGATTACAATCATTCAGATTAAGTTAAGATTAAAACTCGCTACACTTGTACTATATTAACAGATTAAATACTCAATGTTCAGTTGTAATTAATTAATAGTTGTCATTCAGTATGTGACCCACTCCGTGAAGTGCTTATCATCGTCAAACTTTTTCACTAGACTCTAAATTACGCACTGAAAAAAAAAAAAAATATTTGTAATTCATAATCTTTTACAGCATTTATTTTTTTTTTTTTTTTTTACAATTATAGTTTGATATTAAAAAGTCGTTCCATTACTGACTTTATTACTGATAAATAAACTCAGTTTAACAGTTATATAAAGAAAAACAAACAAAATTTGATTAAATTGCGTATGATTTCTGTAAAAGGATTGACTGTTCACGGTAGCTCAGTCGGTAGAGCGCTCGCTTCGTGATCGGGAGGTCGTGAGTTCGAATCTCGGCCGCGACAGACCTAAGTCGATAAAAAATGGGTAGCAACTGTTCCTTCGCCATGCGCTCGGCACTTTGAAATGAAAGTTGCGGGTCCTTCGGATGAGACCTTAAAAACCGAGGCCCCGTTTCACGGCAGGCGTTGACACGATAAAGATCCCTCACTGCTTAATGGCCCTGTGTGCCGAGTAAAGGTCAACATTCGAAGCTCTTCACCGGAATATGGTGACGTCTCTGTATGAGTGAAATATTTTCGAATGGGACGTAAAACAACATACAATCAATCAATCAATGTAAACGGATTGATTTTCTTTTCCATTATTTTTATTATTGATTGGTTTACACATTTTTTTGATTTAGTAAAAAAATTAATTTCATTTGATTAGAATAGGCTCCGATTATAATTTGCAAATGTAACATGTATTCTGCATCAAACAGGAACATTGCGCAGGAGGAGGGGGGGGGGGGTAGATTACCGAGATCTTACTGTTGTATCTTTAAATCTGTACATGGCTAAATATAACGGGCACTTGTTTCAGTAAGTAAAAAAAAAAAATCGGGAAAAAATCATTATAAAAACAGGTGCCCGTTCTAAGGAAAAAAAGATATTCATGTCTCCAGCGGGGCCCGATTCATGTAATTCATTAATATGCACTTTATTCAGAATGGTAAATACATCGTTTCATTACAGAGTTAGATTTTAATTTATCATTAAAATCTTATATGCTAGAGAAACCGGGGGATATGTATTGTAATTCTTTAGTTCTCTTTTCCGGTATTGTGTTTATCAAATATCAATATACCGACCACCTTTAAAAATCCTTGATTTCAAACCCCGTCTACAAAAAAAAAATCAATTATTATGTAATCAATAGTCGCGGCTCTTATTAATACATTCAATATATACACGTATACATGTCCTATGTCCTAAAATGAAAAAAAAAAATATGATCTAGAACTGAGTGATTAATAAAAACAATTAATATATAATTATATAGGATATATTTCTTTATATTATTTTATTGAGGAATACACTGGCAAATTAATTCACTGTTTACATACAAACGGATAAATTTAAGAAATATAATCAACGGGTATTACCTTTTAATTAGTCGATCGTTATTGTCGGATGTCATCTTAGCTATGATTGACAAGAGATAATAGCAGAAAAAGTTTTCAGTCCCGGCACGCGGAGTCCCTGATCGCTGTTGTAAATGACCTTGATCACAGTCGTAAGAAGAGTGTTGAAAGTGTAAAGAAGATTCCAATATATTTTTTAGGGTGCATCGGGCGCATCCCATCGAAAAAGCTATGATTTCTTACAAAAGAAAATTATCAATAAAACACTTGTTTACAACAAAAACTCAGTTTGTGTTTTCATTTGATCACCCCCCCCCCCCCTTGAAATATTTTGCCTTGTATTTGCTGATGCATGTAAATTATAATTCATTTATATGACTTTTATTCATCAACCGATTTTATGCATGAGAAGACAATAATTGAATCATCGTTTTCAAAATTATTTGTTTCACAGAATCTTGTAATATAAGAAAAATATGTTCGTTTATAAAGAAAATCTATTAACTGTGCTCAGCGGCCTTGAATTCCTATACTTCACATTTATATCAATGCACAAAATTCTGCATTTTATTTTTCACGGCTGCCATACATGTATCTATCTATTATTTTGTATTAATCACCGATATGTTCCTGTAATCTCTATATCCCATGTACAGTGGTGAAGATATTCAAATAAATGAATGAAAAGGACAAGACCGGATTCTTGATGAATTTTCTTTTAAAAAAATATTTAGTATTGCTCCCTTTAAAAAATGTATTGAATCAATTACCTTAAAACTGATGTGCATATACATATAATTAATTACTTTTAACACATTTTCTGTCCATCTTTATTTAAATAAATAAATAAAGCTTTAAGAAAATCAAACAAATATGTAATACATTACCGAATAATTTTATTTTGTTGTTTCTGTATTTTTTTCACTCTTAAAATACCACCGGTATGATATATCCGAATAGTATTAGTTACAAACAACACAGAATGACATGTTGATCCAACAAAAGTCCTATTAAAAATAAAAGGACTTCCGAATGAATCCTACACCTTTCGCACACGATTCTTGCACGAAAGTCGCACGTTTCTCACACGCTTCTCGCACGCTCGCTACACAGTTTGCACGAAACGCTTTGGAGCTTACACGAAACGCTGCACGGTTTACACCAAAAGCTATTCGGTTTGCACGAAAGGGTGCACGGTTTACACGAAACGAAAAGCGCACGAAAGTCACACCCTTTTTGGGGGTAGTATCACGTTTCAGGGTCTGTATATACTAGATTTAACTCCTTCATTAACATTACATTAACACTCTTATCATTGTTTTTTTTTTTAATTATTATTATTTCTCTTCATTTTGTAATGAATAAGAAAAAAAATAAAATAAAATAAAATCCAATCCATTAAATGTCTTATTTTTATGTGGGCTTCATATTTGAGATTTGGTATGATACAGTAAATTATTTAAATGAATTTAGATAATTATCACTTTAAATATCATGTGTAAATACAAATTATTTCATATTTCATATCTGCAGAAAATTCAACACAATACAGGTACAGGGAGAAAGATTTATCATCTGGACCCGTTATTACTACCAAACGTACAAATTTAATAATTTTAGTAACTATCATAGCTGCAGCACTTGTATTTCTTTTATTTTTCAATTTTAACAAAAAGTCTCCTTATACATCGAAAAACCAAACATAATGTACCACAAAAACAAATAAATTATCCTTTCTTCAAAAAAATCTTTTGATTTTTATTCATTCACTGCTTAATTCATTAATATCTACATGTAAAATTAATAGATTTTCACTAGAGACACTAAATCCTAGCAAATACTTCCATGTGTAATCGGGATATGTTCTCCCTGCATTGTTAGAATGCCCCCTGGTTATATGGGTGAGAATTGCTCACTTAGGTGTCGGTACCCGGGATTTGGAAAAGATTGTCAAGAAGAATGCTTTTGTAAGATTGACTATTGCGACTATCGGAGTGGATGTGTTAACACCATATTAGGTAAATATTTTAGATGATCTACAGTCCCTGAAACGTTCTACTTTCCCACCTGAACGGTGAGCGAACGCTGAACGAACGGTGAACGAACGCTGAGCGAACGCAGAGCGAACGGTGAGTGAACGATATGTGAACGCTGAACGCAACTTGGTGAACGATGTGTGAACGGTGAACGGTGAGCGAACGCAGAACGCGAACGGAGCGCAAACGCGAACGCAAAGTGAACGGTGAACGAACGGTGAACGCAAGATGAACGATATATTCGGAATGCCTCTGATCTTTTCCTTGCATTGAAACTATTTTATTGTTTTATAATGTCAGGTGCCGAAAAAAAAAATCAATCAATCAATAATAAATAAGTAAACCAATAAATGAATGAATAAATAAGTCAATAAAATAAATTCTCCAAAATTGTCCTGAGAAAGACGATGCATGCACATTAAGTTTTTAATCACACGATTTTTATCGCATTAAAACATTGCAATTGTTGCCGAACGCTGAAGTATAAGAGATATTTTTTTTTAGTTCGAAAATAAAAATGTTTATTCTTATTTGATAACAAATCAGAGAAAACTTCTGACTTATAGAATGAATTAAAGTGGTTCTAACATCCATTCATATATCTCCGTGTTAAAGCGATTTCGTGTAAAGTAATGAAAAAAAAATTAATAACAAAGGTCAGTGGACGTTTTGCATCTATACGCTCGTATTTTAAATTTTTAATACAATAATATATTATGTGTCATTTCTATTTTTCAAAATGATTTATTCAGGCCCGTAGGAAGCAAATTCGTTTTTTTTTTTTTGGGGGGGGGGGGGGGGAGGCACAGCCATACATTTTCAGTTGATAGTTGAGGGGGCACTACCAAAAATTTCCTGACAAGCAAAAAAAAAAAAAAAGGTCATCAGACTTTTTATTGTGGGGGGCACAAGCATATAGTCTATGTTTACTATAATAATCTATATATCGGCAAATTATTGGGGAGGGGGGCACGGCCCCCCTTGCCCCCCCCCCCCGGTTCCTACGGCCATGTTTATTGAGCAGACTTCTACATTTATCTGTAGATGGCCGTGATTATACTCGGACAAGATAATACAAAGATACATATTCATATCATTTGTTATAAATTCAATTTTCAGAACTTGATATTCAAGTAATATGCTGTTATTGTTTTTATTAAACAGACAAATGAGAGAGAGAGAGAGAGAGATTCCGTTTTAGCCCCCCCCCCCCATTTCAGGCTTCACTAAATGTTTGTACCTATATCAAACAAAAACTCTGAAATTTTTTTCTAAATATATCAGACAGTGAAAGTAACTTTTTTTTTTTTATCAACAAATCATATCCATTTGTTTGACAGTCATACTCGTTTTTATTTTCCTGCTTCAGGATCACACGAAGTCCACGTGCTTGTCCTGTCAATCAAAATCATTCGACACTGTGCAGGTGTGAAAGTTTCGTCACATCGAAGACGAAGTGCGAGTATTTCCTACAAGTTATAACATTTATTTTATCATTTCTAGATTTGATTCCAACATTTGAATAATAATTGAATAAAATACATTGGGCATTAACACTTTAAATTTGAAACATACTCTCTGCCAATTCCAAATACCACCGCCGACACGTGTACATTTTGAAGTACTATTGTTTTGTGACTTTTTTTATGCATGTTTGTTTTGAAACTGAATTTTTGTTCTAAAAAAGACCTTAACTTTTTTTTAAAAATGTTAATTAAAATATTCTGAAAATACAATACCACAGGGGCTTGCTCCCGGCGTGTAATAATTATTTATTAAAAAATATCATATACGGTAATACTAAAACATCACGTTTTCGTATTACCGTATATGATTTTTTTTTTAAATAAATAATTATTACACGCCTGGAGCAAGCCCCTGTGCAATACTGAATAAGTAACCGATTTAGGGGGAAAAGGGGGGGAGGGGTATTAATCATATCGAATGGCAAACATATAAAGTTACGGTGAAGAAAGATTTTTTTCTCTATAACTATAGACTTTACATATTATAGTAGAGAAAATTCTGTAGTGCATTACATTTAAAATAAATATTTCCTTTAACCACACTATCAATTTAATTCGCTCCAAAGATAAAAAATTAACACGATATCCGCAGTACTATGTATAACTCTCAGAACTAGTTCTATCATATTTTCTGTAGTAATTGAAAAAAAAAAGTGTTAGAAATAAATATTTTCGTAATTTTGCTGCGTAATTATTTGACTTGAATAATTATATCTCCATTAACGATTTGTTGTCTTTAAAAACAACAAAATGTTGCAGTGTTTGAAGTATTCGCACATTGCCCTTAGTTAAATTTAATATTTCAGCATCGCTCTACATAGGTACAGAATGTGCTTATAACAACATTTATTTTCCAGAGTAATTTAATAAATAGCCTAACAGCTAAGTTAGAATAATAAAAATATATATCGTTGATATTTTTCCCCATGAAATAATGATTCTTCAAACACGATATGTTAGTTATTAAATTAAAAAACCTGTAACTCCTAACCTACAAAAAGATAAGTCCTTTCACATCGGAGTTCCGAATGACAATGAAAACTGAACGATAGGTGAACGCTGAACGCAAGGTGAACGCAAAGTGAACGGAACGAAGAGCGAACGCTGAACGCTTTGTGAACGGTGAACGCGAGCGCACGGTGAACGGTGAACGCAAAACTGTGAACGGAGAGCGAACGGTGAACGCACGGTGAACGAACGGTGAACGCACGCTGAACGAACGGTGAACGAACGGTGAGCGAACGGAAAAATGGGAAAGTAGAATGTTTCAGGGACTGTATACTACCCTGTGCTAGATTTAATGGTTTCCTTTATGTTTTCGCAGTATCAAATTTGAACTTTTTCAATGCCACATTTAAATAACATTTACATGTCATATTAAATAAGACACCTCTATTTTCACTGCTTAATATTTTGAAATATTATAAACTTTAGAAAAACAATTGTTTAGAGCTTCGTTAAAATATTACAGAAACCTGCAAAATTTGTTTCATTATTACAGAAAATATAACATTTGCCATTGCATGGGATTTGTCACGCAAGACCGGAAGTAAAACTTCCCTCTCAATGTTTACAAAAATGATGATAATAACAACAGCAGGAATCGTATTCTTTTTATTGTTCATTTTAATAAGAATGATGATAATCCATCGAAATACCAAGGATGCCTTGGCAAAGACAAATAATCCTGCTACTCTTGAAGGGAATGATCAAAATACAATGGATAACGTAACGTCTGAATGTATAAGTATTCCCAAAAGAAATTCACCTAAAGCAGACATCCCTCTTGCTTTTGCTGGAACTGAACAGCATAGAACGGAGAACGGAATTTCTCTAAACGTAAAAGGACGTACGGAGAAAAGGAATAAGGGGACAGTTAGAAAAAATATAGAGGTACTGAAAAAAACAGGTGCAGACAATGTAAAGAGTCACACGTACTCTACTTTTGCAAGCATAAGAAATGAAATTTTGGGGAGTTCATCTTATGACAATTGTAAACGTCATTATAAATAATTTCTATTTAATAATTAGGAATTGACATAGGATCTCTTAATGGGTTAATTAACTCAAGCTATATCTTTATTTTATTGTACAATATCATTAAACAGGATTTTTGTGTTGAATTGTGATGTTGTACATGTATGTATTAAGAAACCTCTTAACATAACATCTTTTTCTCTTAATTGACATTCAATTATTATTATTTTTTTTAAACATAAACTTAGTTACATTATTTATTAAACAGTGCATTTTCGTTTATGTAAACAACAGTATTTTAAGATGTTTACAGTCTCTCCCACGGTACCAAGGACCTCACTTTTCGCCTCATATCTCAAAATGAATAAATACCTTGGCCTTCAAACTAGGTTCGATCGATAGATCATTTATTCCCCAAATTTCCTGCATTCATCCGAACACTGGAGATCAACCAGAGTATTGACACGGCGGCAAATTCAAATTCTATGGGGATTTTTTTTTTTTTTTTTTTTGTAAACTCGTCCATTAGCGTCAAGATCACTGGACAGGGATCCAGTTTATTGAGGGAATAGTTGTTCTTTCCAAATTAAGATTACAAAAATCCCGAAACTTCAACGACAGTAATTTAGTGTTATTTGGTTAATAATATAAGTATTATTTTGCGTTCAAATATATTTTGACGAATATCCTAAGAAAATGAGAAAAAATAATCCAAATTCAATGCTGTACAAGTTGTGGATATTTAGGTCACGCATTTCCACTAGAAACTAGAAACGGATGTTGACATGGTCTTGTTGTGTGTTATTTACAGCTTCATTTGTTGAAAACGTAGAAAGTTGGTAAGTTGCTGTCCTTTTCTTTATTTCATACCTACATACACCCAAGAAATAACTATTTCAAATGCTAAGAATAAGTCAGAAAGTGCGGATAAGTGCCCCATAATATACATGTACTACATGTCCAAGAAAGAAAAAAAAGAAAGAAGGAAAACTGACATTTTTATCATCTTATTTCAAATCAAAAAACTATTAGAAAAAAAAAAAGAAAATATACAAATACCCCTTTTAATTTTAATGAAAATGACTTTTTTTATCAAAAGCTGGTAGATTTTTATTTATTCATTTAAATGCATTGTCATAGCATTGTAGGTCGATCTACTTTCACTTTGAACACTTCATGCATTTGGCAGTCACTACCTACATGATCCATAAAAAGCAAAATTTTACATTTATGTGAAGTGTCAGCACCTTGACGAATCATTATACAGTTTGTTTGTTTTTTTTAACTATATTTATATTACAAATATCCAGGACAGTCAAGATTTTTTCTAAACTTTTTTTAGTTTTAATTTTACAGGGTCTTCTGTGTTTTAACATACAGTGCTACCAGATATTGCTAGGTGTATAAATATAAATAAATAAATGTTATATGTTGATCGATGCAGTCCAGATTTAACTATATTTCAAGAGTTGCTTATCT